CGCGTTAATGGCCCACGTCGGGAGGTGGCCGCCAAAGTCGACATTCAGCACGAGCGTCACCGTGTACGCGCCGGCCAAGTCGCTGCACTCGCGAAAGACATACCCCGAGGCAAACACCTTAGCGCGGACGCAGCCGCGCACTGGCCTGCAGTCGTCGTCGTCGACCGAGTGCAAGGCGCGGGCAAAGCCCACGCGGCCATGCGACGTAATGAACGTGTCAAAGTACTCGACGTAGCGCAGGTCGCGGCGCTGGACGAGCGGGATCGGTAGCGGGAGGAGGCTCCAGCGGCTGCCCGCAAACGAGTGCTCGGTGAGCGGCAGCAGCGTTCGCAGCAGCTCGGTGCGCGTCGTATGGAGGCCAAAGCCCGTGGTGGCCGCCTTATGGAAGAGGCCGCAGATGTCGTGCAGCGAAGCCTTGAGCGTCGTCGTCGCGGTCAAGGTCGCGACCTCGGGCGGGTAGTGCATGGGCGAGTCGGTCTCGACGGCCGCGATGAGCTCCTTGAAGGCCGTCCGCGCGAGGTGGAGCTCGTCGGTCGTCGGCCCGCCCGGGTGCAGCGTGAGTTCGACCATCGGCAACGCGTTTGGAAATGAATGACACACCAGCAGACACGGACGAATGTTCTCGCTGCATGGAGCCAGCTGGCGCAAAATTGCCTTAGACAGTACCCTTCCAATCTCGAAGAAAGGCGCCAGACGACCCTTTAGCAGCTCCTCGGAGCGCGTTTGAAGCTTGAACGAGGCGTACATATAGACGGGGTGGCGTCATCGGGCGAGCCGAGCCAAGGTCCACCGCGGGTACCACGCCCGGATTGCCTCGGAGATTCGTTGGTGGCGGGCCTGTGGGATGCCTCCAGCAGGAGATTCATGTTAACGTTGCGCATTCTCAGGGGTCCATGGACCCTTGTCGCACTGTAATAGTCGTGCCATAGCACGCACGACCTGCTTACTCGTTGAATTGCGCGCGTGGTAGAAACTGTGTGTTTGGAGTGCCTCCTCAACCCTGGCCTGGAGGTGTGAGTGTTGAAATTCTCGCCGTCGGCTACAGTGACTGGTCGCACAACGACAGACCATGGACGAGCTTCTTGCAGACGCATGCGAACAACGTGTTAGCTATATCTCCTGGTTGATACAATTCTTCAATCCTGCCGCGCTGCAAGCTGGTGGTCAAGATTGGTAGTGGCGCGCTCTGTACTGATATAGGGTAATTGCCTTGTGGACACCACCGCATGAGCCGATCTCGACGTCTGTAGAGACTAGGCGTCGATGGCTCCGTTGAAGCTTTTATGCAAGCCTCGCGACGCGTAAAAGGGCTGCGTCGGACCATGTTTGGTATCGGATCGTCCCAAGGTGATCGATGATGCCGGTGCCTGAGAATGGCGGTAAAGCACCCCGCAGCAGCAACAACCGTCTACTAACCCCAGTACTAACCCACCCCGCCCGCCGTCGCATTCGTCGAATCTCTATCAGCCTGCAAGTCGGCTCGTCTGTGAGCGCGCTGTCGTTGCCGGTCGTCCTGAAGGTACACGAAAATGATACTGTGTCGTGAATACTTATTGGCTAAGGATTAAAGGCTAGCTACGCGGGCACGATGATCATGTCGAAGCAGATGGAGACACGAGAGGGGTAGTAGCGGCTTGAAGCCTAGCTCTCGCGTACTATGACGCTGACGTTGTTGTCTGGCCGCCGAGGGGAAGAAAATCAAGTCGCCGTTGAAAACCAACAGGACGCAACCACCCAGATCACAAACACTGGGGTCTCCATAGCTCTCGATGGCCACTAACTAGTTGTAGACTCTACTATATCCAAGTACCTATCCTAACGATGGTGCCTCAGAGAGAAGATCGAGCGGCCATCGCGCGCCTGAGGCGCACTCCCAGAGTTTTACAGCGGAACGATGTCATCGAATTCTGTCATCCTCGGGACCGCTACGACTCAAAATGCAAACTGAGCACCCACCAGTCGTTTTTCAATCCTTCGTTAAAGCCATACACGACAATATCCGTTTCTAGAGGTTATTGCCAGCCTTCGTGCTGGTGCGTGCTGTAGACGACCAATGGAAGAGCCCATCTCGCCCATAGTCTCGCCGTCTTGTACAAACTGCAGCTGCATAGCTGCACGACTCCGCACCAGGCAGTGTGTGGAGGTACCAATCGGATCCAGCAATCAACTGGTTGCAAACTTCTCACAGTATTTGCATACAATAATCACCACACTATATTCAACGACGCATCGATCCACGGACGACATGATCGATCATTGACGTGATGTGCAATGCGCTCCGCGACACGGTGAAAGAGTGACCAGATCGCTTGGATGCCATCGATGTTGGCGCGGAACGGTGCCTACGTGGCAATGATGCCACTCACCTCCACTGCTTGCATGTAACACTATTCACGTGTCGTGACTTGGCCGTTTCAATGTATGTATTTTGGGAGGTTTTCCTGTTATAACCAACCATTGGCTGCTTGCTGCTGCTTGAATCACCGCGGACTCATCTTGGATCCTCGACGCGACGATGAAGTTGACGATGAAGGCGAAGCACAAGCCCGCTGCGGCCAAGGTAACGCTGGCCGCGCCGGCCAAGAAGGAAGCGGCGCCGGCCAGCGACGCCTCTGCTGACGAAGGCGAGAGCGGCTCGGAGGACGAAGGGGAGACCGGCTCGGCCGACGACGAGGTCGACGCTGACCACGAGAGCGAGGACGAGGCCGACGACATGGAAGAGAACGACATGGACGAAGATGAAGGCGCAGTGGGCTTTGCTGACGCCATGAGCAAGGTCCTTGGGCAGAACATTGACACGGAGAAGGCGCCGATTCTGGCCAAGCGCATCACGGCGCAGATGCGTGAGATCTCCAAGGACAAGAAAGAGACCACCGAGTCCAAGATCAGCGCCAAGGCCAAGCGGCTCCGCGATGAGAAGGACATGGTCATCCCGAGTGTCGCCACGATGGCCCAGGACAAGGCCCTCCGGACGATCGCGACCAAGGGCGTCGTTGCGCTCTTCAACGCGATCGCCAAGCACCAACACGCGTCGGCGGGCACGGCCGACACCAAGTCCAAAGAGATCAAGTCGATGGACAAGGATGCTTTCCTTGGCTTGCTCAAGCAGTCGTCGAAGAAGCAAACGACGGAAGAGCCCAAGCCCGAG